ACTTCGTCGCTCGTCGACCTACAGCAATTCTCACAAGCTGAGAAAGCCCACTGCCATAACTCTAGCAAATACCCTTTCGCAGTGAATGTGAATTGGTGAACTCCATCCACCATAAAAATATATATTCATCCACCACCACCACCGTCCACTAACAGCTAGTGACCTAACTCCACTACTGACTCGTCCATCCACTTAGTCATTGGTCATCGGTTGGGGCTTGGCTCCCCCGTGGCCATAGCAGCTTCCACGTTCCATACTGTGCGTTAGCGCCGCTCGCACTCGCCAATCGCCATGGATGAGGAAGACGAGATTGTTGAGGTGCAAGAGCGAACTCCTCTGCCATCAGCAAGTTTGGAGTCTAGAAGCAAAATTGGCAAGAAGGCTTCCTCATTGATGCTGATTGGCCAATGTCGAGGAGCAAAATGTCTCGCACTTTGCCTATGGTTGCTACTTGCCCCACGGATTGATTGTGGTCGTTAATAGGTGGTGACAATCCTATTTGATCTCTGTATTTCATCATGTGGATCGGAAAAGTTATTAAAATAGTAGGACCACCCTCCTAGGAACATTGGCACTATTGTATTTGTTGCCTTTCGTCATGTAGCCGTTCCTTGTACAATTGTGTGAGAACTCTGGCCCTGTTCGTTTTGTTGAAAAGCCATGGCTGAAAAAGTACTGTTCGTTGATTTGTTATGAGAAAAAAATATTGTTCGTTCGCTAAAATAGTACGACTTTATAAGAGAAAGCGAACAGGGCCTCTGACTTGGTAGCTATAACTCAGTCTTGTTAAGTTATAACTATAGAAGTAGAGATAGATAATATGAATTCTTTACTCCCTCGTTATCCTCCCACTTAGTTGTACTTTACTTCTATCTTTGTGTGAGTTATGTCTACCTTCGGTGTCATAACTACTTTCCTATCTATCGTTACCCCCACTGTACGCACAATGATCGGGGACGGAGGACGTGGGGACGACCGTCACCGCCGCCTGGGAGGTTCGCCAGAATCAATTCTATGACCACTATTTTGAGATTTGAGAATATTTGGAGACAGAGCCTGCAACGGAGATTCCGTTAAAACATCACACATGGAAGCACACACGCACATGCGAGACGTGCACGACTGTAGACACGCGCGTAGTCACGTGTGTGTATAAAAGGTGGAAAATAGCATTGTTTGATTTGAATGCTTGCTCTTATCACCCAGTGAGCTATTTCTAGTTCTGTTTAGATAAAGGTCCAAGATTTTCGTCGCAAAAAAAGTCCAAATTTTTACCATGCTCTAAGGCATATCCGTCGTTTATTTCTCCTCTCGTACCATTGTCCATCGAGGTTGGTTTTATCGATAGTGGTTAAAAACCAATGAACCTATCGCTATCGTATATTACTGAGCTGAGCGCATTGTAGGACTAAAATGATCTTTAGGATTACCAAATCACTCAAGTACAATCTCCCATGCTCACGTGGACTTTTTATAGGGACGTGTTGGCACCGGATGTCCAATGGGGTAGGATTACATTGGACGGCCGTTTTTGGATTATGTTGGATGGCCGTTCCACCCGCGCGTCTGCATGGCCTATCCCTCGTCCGCTAATTCGCCCTGCCCGCATGCCCATCGCGCCGTCGTCGTGGCCGTACGACTCGCTCGCAATCCGCTCCGTCTACCTCGATCCGACCCGGCCCCATCCGCGCACCCCGCCCCCATCCGTTCGCCCCCGCCCCATCGTGTCCCCGACCGGCAGCCCCCTGAGCGCCGGGCACCACGTCCGCCGGCCACCTACTCGCCGCGTCCCCTAACTCTCGAAACAGCATGAAACACGTGCAACAGGAAACACTTGAATGCAACATACGTCTGAAACATATGAAATATATGGAATATACACTTGCAACATATGTGTGAAAACATATGCAACATCCAGATAGAACACTTGCAGCTTGCAACATGAAACACTTGCTGCAACGGACGATTGGAACAGATGAAACATTTGGAACATATTGTTGTAAAATATATGCAACATCCAGATCAAAACGCTTGCAACATATATCTGGAACAGATGAAACATTTTGAACAAACTCTTCCAACATGTCTCTGAAACACTTGGGACCATATGCAACATGTGCAACATTCTTGATCTACTTTTGCATCATTCATATGAAACAACCGCAACATACATCTGGAACACTTGAAACATATATTTGCAACATAGGGGAGGGGGAGCGCCAGTGCCGGTCAATTTCTAGCCGTCGGGGTGGGAGCTGGCGGCGAGTGGTGGCGCGTGAGCACCACCGCCACCAGCACCGAGCTTGGGTTGGTTGGGTGGGCGGCACGCTCGATGGGCGGAGCGAGCACCGGCCACCTGCACCAGCGAGGGCGACGGGAGGGGGCGAGAGGCGCGCGATTGGATGGGGCGCGCGGCAGCAGCGAGGAGAGTGCGCGTCGACGTGGACTGGGCAGCCGCAAGGCGCTGCCATAGGGGAGGAGGAAGCGGAAGAGATAAAGGATGGGTGATTTTTTTTTAATAAACTCATGGGCAGAGCGAAGGGCGGGATAAAAGGGCAAGCAACGAGGTAGTGGGCTTACGGGAACGTCTGACGATTTGCTTATGTCGGACGTAAGACGCATAGCATTACCGCTTTTTATACTAAGTACATTCTCCCATGCTCCCGATTCTCCCTCTCTTGAGTAGTTCCATGCGTGGCGAGTGTTTGACAGGTGTGTGCAATAGTCTGAACGTAGTAGAGCGGCAGCCTTTTTTATATTTCCATCAAATTACTATGAACTGACCTCTTGTGGAAAATACACCTGATGATGTCTTAGAATATGATGATTGATGACTGTTGAATTCTTTTTTTCCATGTGCTTCTTTTTAGTGTAATTAGCGACAATACAGACACACTTTGAACAGGTAAATTAGTGACAACTTAAAGTTAGTGACAATAAAATGGGTGATGCTCAGTAGCCTCCATTCAGTGCCAGCAATAAACGGAACTTGTCAATATAGCTCAACCTACATTTCGGCTACTATAAAGTTCCTACATCTAAACCTATACATAATAGCTAATATGGCCTATATTGACACAATATAATGTGATGATAGGCTCAATCCAAATAAATCTGATTATTGCTGCTTACAAGAAGTGCAAGTAGCCCTCATGGACGGTGGAAAGGGTGTTTCTCGGAATCAGAATGCAGGGTTCGCTGCACTTGCAAGTCCTGTAAGGAGAGAAATTGGGAGCAAGCATGTATGCGACCCTTGGTGTGGTTTGTTCCTTTTTGATCTAGAATATTGTTGTTGACCTCACCATAAACACTGATCTTCTTTATCTGAAAGAAAATGCCAAGTGCATGTGCTTCAGTTCATGTTTAATATACACTAGATACTTTGTTTATTGAGTTTTGCAAGCTCTCTCCTGGTTCTTTGTGTTTTCATTAATTCTGTTGTTTTGTTTACATATACGTCCATACATATATATTGTTTGTAATAATATAATAATGCAATAGATCATTCAATCATGTTTTTATTTTAGTTAATTTTCTTTGTTATTAAGTAAAGTTGACTCCAGTACTGATACATGTGACAAGATATTTGTATCATCTAGGAATTTGTAGATGAAAAAATTGATAATTTATAGTAAGGCTAATATAATAGCATGCCATCTATTATAGTCATAAAACACGTGTGTACCGCACGTGCATTACCACCGAAAGCATTTGTCTGATGGGCGCGAAAGATAATACACGTCACTTACGTTTAGGAAAAAAGAAAGTGTCGTCTTATGTTATAGACAAAATCATTTTTATACGGCATGCGAGAGATGACACATGCCCCTTAGGATTACCAAACTCTACATCATCTGCTTGTGTCGACTTTTGATAAGAGAGAAAAGCTTGCGAGGCTAGACACTTCACACCCGTAGTATGACAAAAAAAAGTTGGATGTAGCAAAGTTTAGCCCACATAAAACTTCATATCACAAGGATGTGAAACATGACAAGCCATACAACATAAAAAAGCAGATATTTAATAACATAAACTTTTCACAAACTCATGGACAACGAGACACTTGTGGTGATATGCTCGAAGAGCAAAATATGCTTACAAGCATTCATAAAAGGAGTGTGTATGCATGTACTACTACTGTCTAAGGGGGTGTTTGGTTTCTCACCAACGCTGCCACGGTACGTCAGTACATTGGTTGGCGTTTGGATTGCACGTAAGCTGAGGCCTTTCCAGTTTATTTATGCGATAATTTTTACCACAGTTGTGGCAACCACTTTCATCACCACAACTTCAGCGATGGCGCCACACCTCACACGGCGTGTGGTGGCCGGGCACCAAATAGGCCCTAAGTCTATCCATATGTGCTCTTATGTAAAAAGAAAAAAAATGGACCAAACCATTTTCATGCGGCGTGGAAGAGATGACACATATATCACTCACCTAGGCGAAAAGGAAACCAATTGTGTATAAAAGTTAAATTCTCATGTTAAAAACCCATGGAGATAACGACTCAACAAGCAGCGTAACTTGACCCTCAAGTGGCATAACAGCACTCTTAACTCCAACCGTTATCTCACCAACATATTTATACAACGAACCAACGAAACCCACCATAAATGCGCCCCCTAGATAGCTAAGCTACCTCAAGCGTGGTCCAGCAGCAAAGGCACCCAACCAAAAAAACAAAAAAATTCGTCACAATAATTAATAAAAGGAATAAGTGAAACGAACACGAACAACACCTCCCCATGTAAATTCCGGACAGGTGCACACCGCGAGACAGAGGCAGCGGAAAAATAGAGAAACCGAGAGAAAAAACAGACAAGAGGGGAGGGAGCAGTGACCTGCCACACCACAGTGGTGGGAAGGAAAGGAAACGAACGAGAGGGAGAGAAAAAGACCCAGGCCAGGCGCCCCCGATCTCCTCCTCCCACTTCGATCGCCCGACCGATCGCCGCCTCGTGAAGCTTCCCTGTACCCTCCCCGCCGCCCGCGACGCCATGGAGCCGCCGCACGCCGAGGAGGCCGCCGCCGCCGCTGCAGCAGGAGCAGCAGGAGGAGGAGGAGGAGGAGGAGGAGGAGAGGGCGGTGGCGCAAGCTCGGGCACCGGCCTCGAAGGTACTGCCTGCCTGCCTAACGGTTTCTAGGTGTCGTTCAGATCTCCGGTCGGGCGTACGGCCGCGCGGATCTCTGGTGGGTTCCGTCCTGGTGTATGTAACCGTGTGGTGCGTGGCTGTTGCAGGGCCGATGCTGAGGCTGGGGCTGGACGGCGGCGGGGAGGAGGGGGAGGACGGGGAGCTGGGGGCGGGGGAGGAGGCGGACGCGCGGCTGCCGGAGCGGCCTGGCGAGGCGGACTGCGGCTACTACCTCCGCACGGGCGCCTGCGGCTTCGGGGAGCGCTGCCGCTACAACCACCCCCGCGATCGCGACGGCACTGAGGTGAGCGCGGGCGGACGCTTCTTCTCCGCAGCCTCTGTTTCCCGCCTTGCTCTCTCGCGCTCTCACTCTTTCCCGATCTGATCCGTGTCCGCGTCCGAGGCGGGCGCTGCTGCCGGCGAATTATTCCGTTTCAGGTAGTTTCGCTGTGTGATTGAGGTAGTTACGGTTTGATCGGACCGCACAAACTAGTGATTTGGGTAATGTGGTTTGTTCAGAGCGGGTTATGCACACCGCCCTTGTGGAATTATCCGTGGTGTCTTGTTGTTATTAATTAGATATTGGATGGCAGCATCAAAGGTTTGAGCTGCCTCGCTTGGAGCTGCACTTTTGAGGTTCCTTTACTTTTATGGTTGAGACACAATGGTTCCTCTTTCTTGTTTGCTTCAAATTTACTACTAGTTTGTCTTTATTGGCTTCCAAATAAATGCATATGTAGAAAGCCAATTACGCAGCCCCTTTTTTCCATTTTAGATGTTGTCATGGTGATCCTGAGTTCCTGACAAGCGATGACGCAACATAAAAACTTACCTTTTCTTCCCCCATTTTGTAGTTTTTTTTTTGTTTGTGTCAATTAAATGTGAAAAGTAGCGGTTGTCATCTTTGTATTCAAGATTTATATTAACAAAATGCTGCTATACTGGGTAGCTTCAAGTTATTTTTTTTTAATCCTGACTGTTTTTCCGGATTAAATGCTTTATAACCTGCTATACTTGACTTTGAGTGCTGCTATTTTACTCAATATTTACAGTTACCACCTGTAAATCTGCTTCTAATCCCATTTTGCTGATCCTAAAGGATTTAGGATATCTGAGGCTGCTGCAACTAAATCTCTAGTTGCCAATTGCAGTGTTTTCTAATAAAATCCTAGCGAATGACTTTACAAAATTCTCCTGAAATGCCAAGCTGATAAATAGTTTCTTTTTAAAACTTATTTAAAAAAAATTAGTTTGGTGGAGGTGCCAAGAATGGAGCAGCACAAGACTTTCCAGAACGACAGGGTCAACCTGTATGCGAGGTACATTCACCTTCACACTCAAGTTTAACTATCTTTCATAGAAATCTGGGCATCAATCAGACATTCAAGACCTGGCAACTCCTGCACACTATTTGCATGCTCCCAGTCCCAGTGTAGCATGTACTGCTGCTTGTCCATGGGTATGCAGGGTGCACAATATAAAAGAACGTAAAGATTCATGCCTGACTTGTTAACTGTTGGTTCTTTACCTCCTGTTCTTTTGTTTTTTTCTACAGTATTATTTGAAGACTGGAACTTGTAAATTTGGTTCCAATTGCAAATATCACCATCCAAAGCAAGATGGATCTGTGCAGCCTGTTATATTAAACAACAATGGATTCCCTCTACGCCCGGTATGAAAATTCTCCTATGATGGTGCTTCCTGGAATTTTTTTTAACAAAGCCTTGTTGTTGTTGTATTTTTGGGAAAAAAATAATTGACATTCATGAAGTGCAGGGTGAGAAAGAATGCTCCTACTATATGAAGACTGGGCAATGCAAGTTTGGTTTTACATGTAAATTTCATCATCCAGAATTTGGTGGTATTCCGGTGACCCCTGGAATATATCCACCATTACAATCAGCGTCTGTGCCCTCCCCCCATACATATCCTCCAAATTGGCAAATGGGAAGATCGCCTGCAGTTCCTGGATCATATATACCAGGCTCATACACTCCAATGATGCTCTCATCTGGAATGGTTCCATTGCAAGGATGGAGCCCTTATCCGGTAAATAATTTGGACAAAATGCTTTATTTTTGACACAAGGAAAGGTTCCTAGCAACAAGCTTCTACCAAGATATAAAGAAAATGAGCAAGCCCTTTTATGAGCTAGTCTAAGATTCTCATTGGATCATTGTCTAGGCAAGATCTGAAAGACATTCAAGTATGTCTTACCTGAAATTTCTTGGCATTATCAAGGAAATAAATAATGTAGGGCAATAAAGTTGACTTGTTTGATAAATAGTAGAGAACAAACTAAGGAAAATATCTTGTTACCTAAAAGAGCAAGGGACTATTCTTCCCTAATTTTTAACTCTTTTGTTTGATGCAGGCATCTGTAAATCCTGTAGCATCAGGTGGAGCACAACAAACTGTTCAAGCTGGACCGTTATATGGTATAGGACACCATGGATCTTCCACCACAATTGCTTATGGCGGTGCATACTTGCCATATTCTTCCTCAACTGGACAATCGAGCAATAATCATCAAGAGCATGGATTTCCTGAGCGGCCAGGGCAGCCTGAGTGTCAATATTTTATGAGGACTGGAGATTGCAAATTTGGAACTACGTGTAAATATAACCATCCTCGAGATTGGAGCACTCCTAAGTCCAATTACATGTTCAGTCATCTCTGCCTTCCACTTCGTCCGGTGAGCATCCAGAGCTTGGTACATATGTATTGACGGGACTATTCAGTAATGCTTCTTGTAAAGTCACTATATCTCCAGTAATGGGTTAATTCATAGTTCTAACAAATCTGGACAAATCAAGCCTATCAATCCACTCCTCACCACTATAGGAACTAAATGCATACACTATTCATAAAAAAATCTTGAAGATAATCTGTCCAATAGTCTACAGGAACCATTGTATCCATGATATTCTATCCAAACGGGTGACCATCGAGTTTAGTATCTTCATTTAGTTCCTTTTCTATCAGCAATCTTTGCATGTTAAGGGTTTGCAAACCATAGGTCTCTATCAGCCTATATTAGAAAATACGCTTCATAGTAGATGAAAATGAGACATGATTTTACATGAAAAAATCTTACTGAAAAACTGTGAACGATAATCACAATATGAGGGAAATTAGAAGCTGGGCTGTTACAATGTGGTTTCTCTCATGCTATTTGGCCGTATATAAAAAAAGGAGTGGAATTGAAATGGCAGAGTAGGATCCCTCTAGAGTAGATACAATTCCATGTGAACTAATATTGGAATTATGCTATAACAGCCGGGGTAGTGGGTAGTGACAAATGTGATGACCTTGTGAACTTGCAAAACTTCACCTATTCAAGCTGATGAGTGTCGGGGACCAATACTAGAGTACCCGAAGAGGAGGAGCTAATGGTCATCAACATTGATTCATCCGAGCAGTCAAGAGCGTGACTACAGCTCCAATCGACCCACAGGTGCGCGGGCTCCGCCTTGCCCGACCTCTGGGGGCGGGCTTTGCCTCGCCCGACCTCTGGGTTGGGGGCCCCGCCTCGCCCGACCCCTCAGGCGCGGCTCCTGACAGAAGCCCGTACCGTCGCCAACCACTACGGGCCAGAAAGTACAACCCAAGGTCAAACTTCTGGCATCGTGCACGGACGCGTGGTCACTATATGTCGCCTACTCCTCAGACGGCCACCGACCAAAGATGTTGGTTCGCCGCGCGTCGCCCATCGGGACAGAATGGGACGCCACGACCACCGACACGCGGCGGCGTGGCATCGGGCATCACAAACAGCGCCCGGCGTGGAGCCGTCCCTGTCACCATCTGCAGTGTTGGCGGGACCCGCATAAAGGAGAAGAAAGGCCCGGCGGTCCTGGAAGCCTTTCTCTCCTTGGCTCTTCTCCCTCTTTCTCTCTGTGTAACCTGCTCTTCCCCCTCGTCTATAAAAGGGGAAGCAGGACACCCCAGGAGTGGAAGAGGGCGGTTCACCACTCTACACGGCTGTACACATCAAAACACACACCCTAACACGCCTTAGGAGCACACGCACATCAGAGACTTAAGACCTGTCCCCCTCTTGCTCGTTTGTAACCCCTACTATAAACTTTCAGTGCTAGTAACACGAGCAGCAGCGACGACCTGGACGTAGGGACTTTCTGTCCGAACCAGTATAAACCTCGTGTCCTTTAACACACCATCCGAGCCAGACGCACAATACTAGAAATTTACTAGTTGGTAACTCGAAACACCGACAGTTAACGCGCCAGGTAGGGGCTTTTTGCGCGTCTCGACATCCACATCAGGACCTCGGATGGCTAGTCACGACGTTAGCTGGGTCTCGGGCGCGCACGTGCGCTTCGGGAACTTGGACTTCATCATTATGATGGAGGGAGAGTTGGCGCAGGCTCTCGCCGCCGTCCAACCTCTCCACTTCACCGGCCTCGACGCGATCGCCGAGGCGCTTGAGGAGCTACAGCTGCACGCACCGGAGGCCCGCACCCCCGGGAGTGACCAGCTCCTCGGCTTCGATTACAGGAGGCTAGAGCGCCAGCTCGGCGTCTTCTTGGGACCCCGACCGTCCCGGGAGGACCTGCACCACCTCACCTTCTCGTTCGCCAACGTCATGACGCAGCTTGCTGGAGGAGAGCCGCTCTCCCCGGAATACCTCATCCGGAGCGCCCTGACAGCGCTCGCGTCCGGTCTTCGCAACGTCGCAGAGACCGTTGACCACCTTGTGGCGCAACGCACGCCTCTATCCCCAGCGAACGACGAGTTCGTGGGGATGACCGAATATGTCGCGGAATCTTTCCACGACCTTCTCGCGGGAGAATCGGGGTCACCCTCCGACTCTGACTCCAGCAGGGGGAGCCATCACCCTTCTCGTGAATGTTTCATGGCAGGTACCCCGAGGGATACGTTGAAAGCATCCACGAGGGAGAGGATACCCCAACGAACGACCTCGACGACGAGGTCGAGGGGGATGCAGGGGCCCCACCTCGCCTGCGGGTAGAGCAGCTGAAGGCCCGGCACTAAGAGATCGAGGAAGCACGACTCCAGCTCGAGCAGGAACGCGCGGAGCTCGAGCGAGAGATCGAGCGCCACGAAGACGGTGGACGTGCGTGCGCCGTGGCCCGCGACGTGAACCGGAGGATCATCAAGGACGACGAAGTCCTCCCACACTTCACCCGGGCAAGCCAGAACATTGCTTCTGGGGCTCGCAACGCCCGAGGATCGTCGGGCCCATCGCGAGATTCGCAAGCTACTCGAGCTTGCGGCGGCGCAGCAGGCCGAGAGCTCGCTGTCCCGACAACGCGAGCTCGACGCCAGCCAGCGCGCGCCCTCAGAGCGACCCGACAAGGACGTATCTGTCCACCAGGCGCAGCAAGACGGCAGGCCGCGCACCACGGTCCCAGTGCATGAGCGTCTCAGCCTCCACCGTGACGCGCGCGAAACCCTGGATGCCTGTAGGTGTACCCGCGGCGATGCGAGGGAGGAGGCTAGCCGCGGCTACCACCCTCGTCGTGGTGGACGCTACGACAGCGGCGATGACCGAAGCTCGAGCCCCGACCTGTTGGGACCTCAGGCCTTTGGCCGACACATCCTCAACGTCGTCTTCTCACCGCGGTACCGACCACCGACCAACATCCCGAAATATTCTGGGAAAACGAATCCCGGATTGTGGCTCGAGGATTATAGGCTTGCTTGCCAAGCCGGTAGAATGGATAAATACGATTTCATTATCCGCAACCTTCCATTGTTCTTGGCCGATTCTGCGCGAACGTGGTTGGAACACCTTCCGTCCAACCGAATCCAAAGTTGGGCGGACCTAAAAGAGATCTTTGTGGAAAACGTCCAGGGCACATACGCGCGTCCTGGGAACCCATGGGATCTCAAAAACTGCCGACAGAAGTCCGGAGAGACTCTTCGTGGGTACATCCGGCGCTTCTCCCGGTAGTGCAACGAGCTGCCCAACGTCGCCGACGCCGACGTCATAGGAGCTTTCCTGTCTGGGACCACCTGCGAGTCCCTAGTTCACAATCTGGGACGTAAGGGCCCGCGAACCACCAAAGAGATCCTCGATATCGCCACCAGCCACGCCTCGGGCGAGGAGACCATCGGGGCGATTTTTGACCGCCTCAAAGGCAAGGCTAAGCGGGATGAGGACGCCGGCGAAGGCGCCTCCAACCGTCCCAGCAAGAAAAAGAACAAGCAGCGGCGCGAGGGCTCGCTCGTGGCCGCCGCCGACCACAAGGGGGGTCGGAAGCCCGCCGAGGGTACCATGAACCACTTCGAGAAGCTGCTTGAAGGGCCATGCCCGAACCATGCTTTCCCTGTCGAGCACCTATACAAGGACTGCTTCCTCATGAAGCGGTTCCCGTGGTGCTCTGGAGCCTGAGGACGACCCCCAGCCGGGCCACCGGCCACGCGCCATTCATTCTTCATGGTCTACGGCTCCGAGGCTATCCTCCCGACCGACCTCGATTATGGAGCGCCGAGTATCAGGGCGTACGATGAGCAGGGAGCCGAGGCGTCCCTCGAGGATGCCATGGATCAGCTAGATGAAGCGCGCGACGTTGCCCTCCTTCGCTCGGTCAAGTACCAGCAAGCGTTGCGTCGGTACCACAGCCGTCGAGTGCGGGGTCGGGCCTTCAACGTCGGTGACCTGGTGCTCCGCCTCGTCCAAAGCAACAAGAACCGCCACAAGCTCTCTCCGCCGTGGGAGGGACCGTATGTCGTCGCGGAGGTGCTCCGACCAGGCACCTACAAGCTCAGGACTATCGACGGTGAAGTCTTCATCAACGCCCGAAAGATCGAACAGCCACGTAGCTTTTACCCTTAATTTACGCACGCTTTCTCTTATCAGTTTTGTCCCGCCTCCCCGAGGCTAGGCCCGCTTACATCTGGTAGCTTTCCTAGGACATAGACTGCCCTCACAGACCCACACCATTTTTTTTCTGCGCACTTTGTCCTTACTCATGCGCCCCCGGGAAGAACTTCCCAGTCGGTCACCCATCGCTCCAGGCCAAGCACACTTAACCTTGGAGTTCTTAAGAGATGAGCTTCCAGAAAAGAAGTTGCAACTTGTTGGTACGAGTATCCTATTAATCCTATTAAGCCCTAGGCCGGGGTGTTACATAGACATTCTCTATGCCCGACTCTTTCTCACGTTAAGACCAAGAAGCGAAGGTCGCGGAAACAAACACTGAGTAAAACTGGTCGGACTGCAAGAAACCTACGCCCCAGCGGCTACGACGTTTTTGCGCACAGTGATTTTTTTTCGCACCCCGAGCTTTTTAGCCTTAACTACGGAAAGAGTCGGTACGCATTTAATAGTATATCCACCTGGCGAACATTGTCTGTGCCCGACCCTCTCTCACGTTAGGATCTAGAAGCAAGCGTCGCGGAAACGAACGCTGAGTAAAACTGGTCGGACTGCAAGAAACCTACGCCCCAGCGGCTACGACGTTTTTGCTCACCAGCGTGATCAGAGTTTGTTCACCCACACCCTGAGCTTTACAACCTTAACGACGGAAATGGTCGGAACGCATTAATCTTTTTATACGAAAAGGGGAGAAGGGCTAAAAATTTGTTTGGCCATTACGAAATTTAAGAGCTTGTCCACTTATTACGAGTTTGCCGCCTGGCTTATCTGCCTAACTAATATCTTGGGATGATGTCATCCTCTATCTCCACAGGCAAGTCCTGTGCAAACGGGTCACCCAAGTCGATCGGACGGCTCGTACCGCTGCCGAGAGACGGGTAAGGAGCAGTAGGATGCCCCATGCGGGTTATGCCGACCCCGTCACGAACGACGAATCCAGATTCCACTCGGACATATCCGATAATAGCTCCCCGAACCCGTCACTCGAGCCATCGAGGTAAGTCTAGTGCCAGCAGGTCACCTAAGTCGATCGGACGGCTCGGGCCGCTGCCGAGAAACGGGTAACGAGTAGTAGGATGCCCCATGCGGGTTATGCCGACCCCGTCACGAACGACGGATCCGGATTCCACACGGACATATCCGATAATAGCTCCCCGAACCCGTCACTCGAGCCATCGGGGTAACTTTACCAACCCCCACTTTACCTTTCAAATGCATAAGCATTCATTCATCCATTCTCATACATCCAAGCATCGCATATGCAATTATTGTATCACAACGCTTTGCGTCGCGTCACGAAGCGGTAGTCGTCTCATTCAACATGAGCGGCGACCGACCGGGGTTTGAAGGCCGGCCCGCGAAGGGCTCGAGGCCGCCTTGCGTCGAACAGAGCCATGGGAGAAAACACAGATGAGCTCCAGCGGCCTTTGCCCGACCCGCTCAGAAGCGGACAGGGTCATCTCGACCTTCTCGTTTGATCCTAACCTCGAGCCATGGCCACAGAATCTCTATCGAGGAGAGACCAGCGGGCCACCTGAGTCGGTATTCGGAACGACTCGGGCATCTGCCGGGAGGCGGGTCAAGGAGCAGTGGAATGCCACATAAGGGCTATACCGACCTCGTTACGGACAACGGACCCGGATTCCACTCGGACATGCCTGTTAGCGAGCTCACCGAGCGTGACACTCGAGCCATCGAGGCAAGTGACGTTAGCTCAACCCCTCCGGTTGCGTAAACCGCGGACGGGGTGACGATCACAAAAACGGCGACCGACCGGGGTTCGAAGGCCGGCCCGCGAAGGGCTCGAGGCCGCCTCACGTCGAACAGAGTCAGGGGAGAAAACGCAGATGAGCCCCAGCGGTCTTTGCCCGACCCGCTCAGAAGCGGACAGGGTCATCTCGACCTTCTCGTTCGATCCTAACCTCGAGTTATACCCACAGAATCTCCATCGAGCGGAGGCCTGCGGGCCACCTGAGTCGGTCTCCGGAACGACTTGGGCATCTGCCGAGGGTGGGTTAAGGAGCAGTGGAATGCCACATGAGGGCTATGCCGACCCCGTTACGAACGACGAACCCGGATTCCACTCGGACATGCCCGTTAGCGAGCTCACTAAGCGTGACACTCGAGCCATCGAGGTAAGTGACGTTAGCTCAACCCCTCCGGTTGTGGAAACCGCGGACGGGGTGACGATCACAAAGACGAGCCGACCCTCGACCGGACCCCCGCTACGCGCGGGGGCTCGAGGAAAGTTGGACTCGCAAGGAGACCGAATGCGCGGTCGCAGAACGATGGCTCAGATCCTAAGGAGGGGGCATGAACGAAAACTAAGAATAACGTTTCTAAAACAAAATACGCTTTCTCCTACTAGTTTCGCTATCGTCTTCGCGATCTTTAGTGAAACCCGACCCCGCAACAGCAAGCAAAGTTTCATGAAAACGAACGATCGAGTAAGGCTGGTCGGATCGCAAGAAACCTCGCCCAAAGAGAGCTTACTTGACTCTTGCTTACCAAATAAGATCGAGTTTCTCGCCCACACCTCGAGCTCTACAATCTTAACAACAGGAAAAAGGAAGGGTCGGAGCGCTTGACCCCTTTATACGCATAAAAAGGGGAGAAAGAACAAATTTGTTCAACCAAAACGAAAGAACAAACTTGTCCAAACGAAACAAAAGGGATGGCCCGCTAGCGGCTAGTACCCGGGCGCACGAGCGCCGCGAGCATCCCCGCCCATGTTTGAGTCTCGGCCGGATGCGATACACGGTTTTTCCTCGAAGAAAGGTAGAGAGCCCTCGGGACCGGTCGAACGGATCCGAGAACTATATGGATTGACCGCTGAGAATCTGGAGTCGGTCACCAGCTGACCCAAGCCGGACCCCCATGAACGGGATGCCAGGGCCCCACTCGGACTAGCCCGTTAACAGCTCACCGAGCACCATGATTCGTCCATAGAGGAAAATCATGGCACGGCTCAGCCCCTCCGTTTTTATCGAAAAAAACGCTTGAGGGAAGATGATCACAAAGACGAGCTGATCCTCGACCGGACCCCTGCTACGGGCGGGGGCTCGAGGAAAGTTGGACTCGCAAGGAGACCGAACACGCGGTCGCAGAACGACAGACGCCCGTAGGGGTCGGAATCAGGAAAAACCTTTTTCGACCCACCAAATCTCACGGCTATACCCCCGAGGGGTCCGATCACGACAAAAGGGAATCGCCATCCCCAGGACACGCCGTGGGCGACAAAAGAAGGCCAAGGCCCTCAGAGTCCTCCTGTCGGAAAAAGCCTCCGAAGGAGTATTCTACTCCTCCGCAGGCTCGGGGGCTACTGTCGGGGACCAATACTAGGGTACCCGAAGAGAAGGAGCTAATTGTCATCAACATTGATTCATCCGAGCAGTCAAGAGTGCGACTACAGCTCTAACCGATCCCCAGGTGCGCGGGCCCCGCCTTGCCCGACCTCTGGGGGCGGGGGCCCTGCCTTGCCCGACCTCTGGGTCGGGGGCCCCGCCTCGCCCAACCTCTGGGTCCGGGGCTCCGTCTCGCCCGACCCCTCAGGCACGGCTCCTGACAGAAGCCCGTACTGCCGCCAACCACTATGGGCCAGAAAGTACAACCCAAGGTCAAACTTCTGGCATTGTGCAGGGAGCGAGCACATTTCAACATGACCCGTGCCCGCGACATGTCACTTCAGGGAACTCACATCACCAACAGTGACGGACGCGTGGTCACTATGCTATCTACTCCCTGTACGGCCGCTGACCAGCACGCTAGTTCACCGCGCCGCCCGCCGGGACGGAATGGGACGTCACGACCCGCTGACAACGCCGGGGTGTGGCATCAGCGGCGAACAGGCGCCCGGCGTGGAGTCGTCCCTATCACCATGTGCAGTGTCGGCGGGACCCGCATAAAAGAGAAGAAAGGCCCGGCGGTTCTGGAAGCCTTCCTCTCCTTTGCTCTTCTCCCTCTTTCTCTCTGTGTAACCTGCTCTTCCCCGTCATCTATAAAAGGGGAAGCAGGACGCCCCAGGAGTGGAAGAGGGCGGTTCACCACTCTACACGGCTGTAGACATCATAACACACGCCCTAACACGTTTTAGGAGCACACACACATCAGAGACTTGAGATCTATCCCTCTCTCGCTCATTTTTAACCCCTACTACAAACTTTCAGTGCTAATAACACGAGCAGCAGCGACGAACTAGATGTAGGGACTTTCTGCCCAAACTAGTATAAACCTTGTGTCCTCTAAGCACACCATCCGAGCCAGACGCGCAATACTAGAAATTTACTAGTTGGTAACTCGAAACACCGACAATGAGGTAGAATGAAAACCATTTGTAGCCTATACAGGGAACTTAGAGATGTATTTAGAAGCTGACTTTCTGAATGATCGTGTTCTTAAACTCTGGTATTTATGATTTATACACTGCACACAACAGTGTTAATGTGTAATCATGCAACTTATCAGGATTCACTCACATTTTCTTAGAAAATTATTTGCTTGATTAAGGTACAAATTGGTTTTTGTTTCTCTTAAAAATTCCCTTTTTGTGAGCCATATAGATCAAATGGAAGCTACAATTCTACTGTTTCCAATGATGATTAGTTCTTGTCAGCTAGATATTGTTTTCTAACTAATAGAGGTGATAGTTAATGTAATTTTCTTTGCCCTTTCCTATGATAATAAAATGCTATACAATGACTCACTGTGGCAGGTAGTCATGAACTATGTAAGGTGTAAATTTAACGAAGTTTGATCAGAAGAATAATTAACCAATTTCTACTTTGTCAGTTGCTTAGAATCATGATACTTCTTGTTATGGAGAACAAATAAATAAAGATATAAATTTTGATACAAACTACTTGTTTTGCCACCAAGTGTATCCATGTTGCATTAACTCATGGTTACTATTTCCTTCTCTAACTAAGGTACTCAGTTCAATAAAGCAAAGGGGTTCGTGGGGCTAAGTTGTCCTATTGAAATATAGATATATGGCTGACCTTCATTGTACCTTCCAAATGTCCCACATATATTGTAAAATGTCTATTTGTCACAGTTAAATTTGTTTCCTTTAGTTTGGTCTTGCATGCTCTTGATGTTTAGTTGCATACTGCAATTCCTTATTGACTGATTATTGGGATGGAATCCTGTACAAGTTTGTAATGATCTAGATATTTGAACCTACAAACGTCCTTTTTCCCCCTGCATGATGCCTACTGCAGCTGGAAGGTACAGTTGAGTACAAGCATGTAGGATGTTATGTTTGTCTTTTACATGCGAAGGAAAATTTTGCTGGACTAATCATGTAGATTTTATCATATTCATTTTTTTTTTAAATAATCTTGCAGTTTCTTACCCAATCTTACTATGTTATCTAAAATGTACAGGGTGCTCAGCCTTGTGCGTACTATGCCCAAAATGGATATTGCAGATATGGAGTTGCATGCAAATATGATCACCCAATGGGTACACTATGCTACAGTTCATCTGCTTTACCCCTATCTGACATGCCAATTGCTCCCTACCCTATCGGCTTCTCTGTTGCCACGTTGGCTCCATCTTCATCTTCCCCAGAATATATTTCAACCAAAGATCCATCTATCAATCAAGTAGCATCACCAGTGGCAGCACCGGAACCTGTTGGAGCAATCTTGCCAAAAGGGGTATTCCCTTCGGATACCTTTATGCGAACTCAGACTTCTACAAGTGTCGGCAGTTCAAGCCCTGGTGGTGGTCGCTGATTTTTCTGAGCTGGTGGGAGTGATCCTCTCAGCACAATTTTTCTATCACTTGACACAGGTACTTTAGCCTTCGATTGTATTTTTCATCATCGCGTAAAACATACTGCTGTTGACAATGACTATTATCTTGCTCTATTGATATCAGTTCTGATAGGCTTCTCCAATGTGAATAAGAAGCTGTGGCCTCTGTAGAGAAGCTGCGGTGAGGGTGGTTTTCTCTACCATCAGAATAAGAGAGCATTGATAGGTTACAAGCAAGCTCGATTCACTTGCAATTTTTGCGTTCTTCCGTTCATGTCCAAAACGGGAAAAGGAAGGTTTTTGAAGGTCAGGTTCCATAGCATATTGGGCGCGGTGGTGAGGCTCAGGTCCATTCCCACGGTAAATAATTCTCTGGCAAGAAAATTTTCGTTGTTATCAAGAAAATTTTCACATGCGGAGTTACTGAGTTCCTCCACCTTTCAAATTTTCTTTTTCCTTTTGTTTTCTGTATATTGTCATATATATATATATATATTACATATATATCATCAACAGACTTGAGACATGTAACTACGTATATATATAAATGTTCATACTGGGAGCAAGACGCATTGTAATGGCAAAAAAAAAAAAATGCTTAATTGAAGAGATCTTTCTGTCAATACTGAAATGGTTGTATTGGTGAGGTCAACTTACACTTCAGGGTTGTCCACTTTTATATTACCTCAGTTCCATAAAGAGTGACGTTTTGGTTTTGTTCTAAGCCAATGACTCTTTTTGATTAAATTTATAGAGAAGATTAAATATTTATGACACTAAATAGGTTTAGTTTGAAAATATATTTCATGATAAATCTAATGATATTTATTTGGTATCATAAATTTATTTTATATAAATATAAATTTAGTTAAATCTAAAATATTTGACTTAGGACAAAACCAGAATTATACTCTTTGTGGGATGAAGGTAGTATTAGACATTAGTGCCGAGATGCACAGAAAAAACATATATCTTTCTTTGGATTTTGTGGACTTTTCCAAAAATATATGAATATGTGAATTAAAAATTCTAAAGTAACATATCTTTTGTACATTTTAGAATATGTGAACATGCAAATAATCATGAAAAGTAAAGTTGGTTATCGTTCAGGAAAAAAAAGAGAAGTTTGTACACGTGACTTTTTTTTTTGAGTAAAGTACACGTGACTTTCTGCTATATTATGATTATGTTTCCCCAGCGCGCATGAAATTTCATATCTGCACAAATGAGCTCCAAGCATGGAACTGTAACATGAAACTGTAAAGATGCACAACCATGGAATAGGCGTGCACGATATAGTAACTTAAAAACCGGCCATATAAGTATGTTTATGCAATTATGCTGTTACACTTATTCGCTAAAAGATATTTCTTCCTAAAAATTATAGGTCAAGTCAAATTTCTTTTTAACTTCACTGAATTTATAAAAAAAATGAACTTAGATTTTGTAACTCAAATTAGTTTCATAATTCCATTATGGAGATACTGTAATAAAAAAAGCTTCAAAAAGATTTGGAACGGAAGGAATACTTCCTAGCGCATCTCTAAATTTTTTTCTAAAATCCACTCTCTAAATCATCATTTGGAGAGTCATTTGTGTAAAACTAACTTTCTATGTCTTTGTACTCTCCAATAGCTTTTCTATATCTTGTCCGTACTCTAGGTAACTATCATCGTTCTCCATCTTTAACTAGTGAGAAATCCGGAATAAATAATGTCTATATTTGAAGATCCATTTAAAGAGGCCGTTGAAGGTAAATTTTTCACCAAAATCTATAATCCTATTATGTTTAAAAAAATCTATAATCTTATAAATTATAAAGGATATAAAGAGTCGCTCGGAATTGCTCTAACACATGGTACGATTAGCCCGATTCTCTGAAATTTCTTCTTTTTTAGATGAACGCGTTCTAGTTAAGTTTCCACAAGAGCATTTTAGCCTAGCCGTTGATATTCCATAATCGATATCAATATATTTCTCAACCGACGATACTAATGTTATTCATACCGACATCTCATTAAAAAGAAAAAAGAAACTTATACATAGATCTAGTACTCACTCGTTTCAAATTGCAAGTCCTTGTGCCTTGTTTAGATACATAACTTTTCTAGACATAATCATATCTATGTGTCCCAGATGACTTAAAATTTAGAACATAGAGAGTACTAACTATTTGGGACACGGCTCCACATGATTTTTGTGGTTTATGGAGTGACAGTGCAACGTGTAATGTTTTTGGGACCTCATGTTGTAAAATAAATCAGGGCAGAAGTCTTTTGGTAAGCTCGTAGATCACATTTGATGGTGTATTCACGGGACCGTCGACGTGTCATATTACAATCTTTGTTTGGTTTAGTCGGCTGCTCTTTTCCAACGCGCAAGCGTTAGTAACAATACCAACGCTCAGTTTTCATCCTCTGCTCACCCATCTAATCTTCTATCTCCTCTCCATCTTCAACCTCCATCCCATTGCCCCACCGCCACCAGTGTCATCCACCACCACAGCCAGCAGCACCCCTACTGGTCGCACCTCCTGCCGCCCACCCTTGCTTCTCCTCGTCCTCGCCTAATACCAATTGGAGAAAGGGGTTGCTTTTCTCGCCCTCGTTGCCTCACTTACCGCTTCATAGCCCGCCACCATCACAGGGCGGCTGCTGCCATCGTGCCCTCACTTTCTAAGCCCAAAGGACACTGGAAGTCTCCTAATGCTCTAACTCCAAAACCCTAAGGGTGCGTTTGGATGTTGGTATTGGAGGAGCTAGAATTGAATTTGTTAGAATACCAAATGAGGCTAACTTTGGCATTGGCTTACAATACCAAACCTGTTGTTTGGATGTCATGGAATTACTAGTTGGAATCCAATGAGATGGCAAATACCAATTTTTGTTTGGATATGTATATACCAGAATTGGCACATTTCTCTTTCCTGTCCACTATGCTAGCTCCAATATCCTGATAGCGACGGCGGCCATGGCCTTGGGGAGGTGGATCTCGACAGCGGGCAGACCTGGATAGTGGTGGAGCTCGAGTGGGGAGGGTAGAGCTCGCCGGCGACAAGCGGAGCTCTGGGGATGTTGACACCAAATTTTAACCAGTATACATGAAAGCCCCGAATTTTGAAATCCATTGAAGGAAGCCAAAATATTCGTAAAATCGGCTAAGTAAGCTGCCATCGGGATCAGTTGGGTGGCATGACGTCATCATTCCAAGAATGGGCCTTGACGACGGGGAATAGCGATGGCCTGAACCAAGAAGATATGGTGGACTTCATAGAAAAGGAAGTTTGGAGTCTAAGTTATCTTAATTTAGGATATTCTATTTTCTTTTCCAAATTTTGTAAAGGTACTGGTATCTTAATTTAGGATATTCTGTTTTCTAAGTTGATGAGATCCAGTTTAGAACTGCTATTATGGCTGCCATCGATCTGGCCGACCCCCACTGTTAGCACTATAGATCGAAAATTATCAATTAACAAGTCTCGCTTATGGTCAAACATAGCCTCTGACTGCATGCTATGTTCGCATCGGCTATTTAGCCGATCGCCCGCGCTTTCATGATCGTAACATGCTTTCACGATTCCGTTGAGCGTGAACCGACTCGTATTTTTTGAAGGTTTAATTTATTATCTTTATTATGGCTGCAATCGATTCGGTCGAACCCTACCGTTAGAGATAATAGATTAGATTTGATAGATTTATGGATCTATCCACGTTCAATGGTTGATTGCTTACATGTTATGAGCTTACTTTCACTGGAATAAGCTATTTTAGCCGATAGCTTGCTTATTGAGAATACACTGGCTATTCATACGTTTGTACTTGTTCTTATCTTGATTAAAAGCTAGTATGATTCTCAATTAATATAGATCCTTTCATGTTTATCCATCACACCTTTACATGTTCTCATGATTCATCGGCTGATTAAGATCTATATACTCAAATATCTGATAATTGCCGACATGCTTATTTTATTCGCTTAGCATCATGAACATGCTGGATATCGACTCTTTAGTCAATAGCCTTATATCATCGACTACTTAGCCGCACATTTGGAACTGTCTGGAGCAACACCAGCATGTTCCACCTTAAATTACTGATCAACCTTTCCTGCTTGTCAATTGCAGGTCAAATTGACTGGTACACCCTAGGTCACGACCATCTGGTCCTGTGTTTCCTTAAGCCCGGGGAGAGCTCAGGATCTACTCCACATGGTTTATCCCGGGTTGCTTCGCATGTCGGCAGCGAGGCTCGGCCCGTCACGTTTTGCCGTCGACATAGAGTTGGCATGCTCGGTGGGACCACAATCATCAACATGAACAACGATGCCATCCTCAAGGTCAACCTTGAAGACTTGCCCGACGATCAGAGGGCTCTCATCGACAAGGCAGCGGAAGAGTTCCGAGAGAAGTGCCTGCTGTCTTACAGTAGGATGCGCGATTTAGTCATTCAGAAGACCCCACTGCCAAGAGTTCTCCTGCATGGATCGAATGATCCGAACGAGGAAGCTAAAGCTCGAATTGCTGCCCAGATGGTCCATAAAACCATTCATGAAGCCTTTACAAATCACGACCAGATGTTGGCCAATACAATTGGCAATGTTATGAAAGAAGTTTTTTTGGAATGCCAGTTGATCAGGTGGGACCATCATATTTCAATGGTTATAATCGTTCGACTGTTGGAACCAGTGTGCCTAGTTCCAGCCAGCAGCCAAATGGTGGGCAGTATCAACAGCCACCAGCACAACAGCTTCCAGGAGGACAAGCTCAAGATCTACAAGCTCATCCAATAGCAGGGGGGCAAGGTCAAGCTCAGCCAATGGCAGGGGGGCAAGGACAAGCCCTAGCAACAACAGGGGGCAAGGTCAAATGATAGGGGGCAACTACCACCACAGTAGTCACCAAGTGCCCCTGTCACATAGATGACTCAGCTTCCTACTGGACAGACCCAGACGTACGTAGTCCAGCAGCCAACCTCGCCAGT